GAAAAGAATTTATTAGATTAGTAGATAGTTGTATATGAGGACTCCTCATTTTTGTTATGGATTAAAGGGATAGAAAGATATAGACTTTGTTGTAAAATTATATGATACATACACATACACAGACATACATATATGTCTACACACACACACACACACATGCCTTGTCTCTGTCTGGGCAAGTGGACTTTATTTATTTGGCCTGTGGGCAATATTTACTGTCTTTCCCGCTTCTTCTATAGAACACACTAATTCAAAAGCATTGAAATGCTGAATTTCAAACCATGTTTTTGTTATGCTCATCAACCATAACATTTAATTGCTTTCTTCTGCAGCAAAGTTGTCCTTCCTTAGCTGCTCACCACCCGCTCCTTCTCCCACTGACACACCCATCTGGCTGTTGCCTCTACTTTATTGAAACTCTGGTCAGGGTCTCCACTAGCTCGGCATTGCAGACCTGGAGTTAGTCTCCAGCCAAAGACAGGTGCTCGGCTGTACATGGTCTCTTTCTCAACAGCGTCCAGCAAGGCTGTGCTCTTTTTCAAAACGTCTTGGGGATTCTCTGAGATTCCAAACTCAGAGCCTCCTGACTCCCACTTCTAGCCATAACTTTTTAAGATTCAGCAAATGAAAGGCCAGTCATTATGACTCACCCTCCATGGAGGACAGGGCACAAACCAAGTTTGGTAATTTGATCAGACCTGTGGACTTTCTCCTGCCTTCTTTTTTATCCCAAAGCTGAGGTCTGTTTTTTATTCGTAAAGATACAGCGCTCTCCCCAGGAGTGATTGCATCAGCCAGGGCAGACCATGCTCGCTCTCCTTCAAGCACGTAAGTAACCTTTGGAAGAAAAGAATGAGAGTGGTTTACACAAAGCCTTTCAAGCTGGGTGTGGAGTGCAGCGCTGACAGGCTCTTAGTCTGTGTAGACCAAGTTGAAGTGTGCTGTTCTAGGTTAGCTTTCTCCCTAGGGATGGAACTGAAGCTGAGCTTCAGGCCTTGAGCAAGCCTAATGGATGGGTTGATGGGGCTCCCTCACAGTCAGTAGTTCGTGAGAAGTTTCTGAGGTGCTAGAAGTTGATCACTGGGGAGAGAGAGAGAGAGAGAGAGAGAGAGAGAGAGCACATTTGCTATTAGAAATGCTGCCCTGATAGTCTGGAGAGATGGTTCAGTGGTTAGGAACACCTGACTGCTCTTCAAGATGTCCTGAGTTCAATTCCTAGCAACCACAAGGTGGCTCGTAAATTTGCCTTGAAACACAGAGAGAAGCAAGGGAGGCTGGAAGCAGTCGAAACTTCCAATGTAATTTCGGGTTGCGAAGTTTTATTTCAGTAACTCATCAAGGAACTAGAATCCTGAGATAGGCCAACTATCCATATAGTTCACACTCTCCTAAGGCCATGATGGTCTAAAGCCCAGGTGGTTCCTCATCAGCCTCACATACCTGAACATGCAAAGCAGCATCTCAGGAAACATCACTGAGCACTGTTCTTCTTGCAGTAGTGTTAATTGTGCCAAGGATAAAGGGAATTCAGCATTGGTGTTTGATTAAGGCAGGGGGCCTTGTTTTCTTCACTGCACTATCTATAGAAACAGAGCTAGGAAGGCGCTCTGTAAACCTCCTCTCAATTAACGAATCTCCCATTAACCTATCTGTTACTGATTTTACGTTCAGCACCTTCCTTGTAGAATTGCAGACAAAGCGTTCAGTAGGTGGTGTCAAGATGGCGCAGCATGACTTCTCCTCAAGGATCATCTAAGTGATAACTCAAAAGCTGTGGGAAGACAATCGGTAGAAGACAGCAAAATTTATGCCAAAAACTCTGCAGAAACTTGATAAGTGCTCTCTTAGGAGGTCTTCCAAAACACGAGTGCTGACGTGGAATGTCATTCCATGTGGATCCAACTCACCTGGAGAGCAGACATCTGTCTTTGGTTTAAAGAGAGAAATAAAGACAACTTGAACTTTGACTTACACCCGGTGCCCCAAAATTGGACTGAGCACAAATGCTATGGACTCTCGCAGAACAGGGCAGCCAGTGGGGTTTGGAAGATTGAGCTGTCGCGTCTACCTCAAGACTGTGGGCTGGTTGTTGTTACCTCTTACGAGCAGTGTAGCTTTGGGCTGTTGCTGTCGTAACCTCTCAGTGCTCTGCTTCTTCTGTCTGTAAAGTACCTTTCCCCCAAGGATGTCAGAGTGAGAATGCCTGCCTTGAATTTTAGAAATTCAAAGTTTATGTCTATAGCCTTCTGTAGATTGAAAAATGCATGCAAGAAAATTGCAAATTCTACAGACAAGGGTCATACAGAAAAGATTCTTTATACTTTAATTTTTAAAAAGTGAGATAGATAACAATACTTTGAATTTTTTCAGTTTATTTTTTAAATCTCTGTGTGCTCATTGTATATGATACTGTATTTCATAAGGATACATTTATACATTGTACATAGTCCTTTCCACTCCCTCCTTCCATCTTCACCCTCCATCCTGTTAGTCACCTTTGCTCTCTAGACAAATTTGCCTTTACTTTCATATCAAATACACACACATTACTTTATGTATTAATATAAATTGTGTCAACCACAAATGAGAGAAAACGCACACTGTCATTTTGAGACTGGCTTAAGTGCACACTTTCAAACAAAGAATAAGGTCATGGTTTTCAATGTCTCAAAACCAAGAAGATTCCGCCACCCCTTTCAAATGTGGCACAGGCTTTACCTCCTGCTGAATGAGCCAAGACAAGAGAGGTCAATAACGAGGCAGAGCAAGCAATGCTGGGCTTCAAATTTGGCCTAGATCTGAGATGAGATAATCCAAGTAATGACTTCACTGAAGTCATCTTTGCATGGGGTCTTGAGATGCGCTCTAGAAGTCAGGAGCTAGTTCATGCTGAACTTTCAGCTCCATGTCCTGGGGACTCATCAGAGCCATACGTGGGAACACAGCGCTTCCTGAGGCCCCTCCTGAGAAGCAGACATGGACTTTCACACTCCGTGGTTTGGACAGGAGAGAACCAATCTCACAGTAGGATAAGCACTCCTTTACAATCTTCTCTGCACTCTGGAGGATATTGCGTAGGCCAGCTAGCAAAACTCCTGGTGTAGCGTTTCATTTTATATCTGGTTTCCTGTGTGCCGATTAGGAGTCTGTGCTTGCAGTCTTATAGGCATTTGGGCGTGTGCTAAATTCTCCAGCCTGTACACATCAGACGTGTTGAGTACTTTGGCAATTGAGATTCAATATGTAATTAATTAGGTTGATTCTGAAATTGTAAGGTGCAATGAAAACCATATTTTTATTATTGGTATTGCAGGGTTTTGCAATCAGCCAGGACTTTGCTTTCAGCAAATCAAAACACTGATTTTCTTGAGAGCTTTGGGGGTGGGAATTCATTGATATAGTTCTGTTTATTTGTTTTAAGCTTTGTGGTGATATATGGCCCTGTGGAGAATTATGTGGCTCTTTCCACCAAACACTAGTCTAGAGCCTTCTGAGTGCAGGCCACTGAACATGCGAGAACTGTGGCAGTTGGGACTCCCTCTTGTAGCCCTCCCTGTGTTCTTCTGCATTTCCCTTTCTATCTACATCAAATTCCTCACTTCTCATTATTAAGTGTAGAATGGTCACATGACCAAGGAACAGGTAGTTCAAGAGGCTGTAAGCAGACAGCTCACGCCCTCAAGTAGGATGCACAGTAGCTTTGGCAAAGGGAAGGAGTGTTGTTGATTTTATTTTCTATTATTCTGAAACTTGAACATCCCCCCCCCGAAAACAAAACAAAACAAAACAAAAAAAGCAAAAGCGTTTCCCCTGACTAGAGAAATACACATGATCACTATATTTGTGAAATTCAGAGTAAAAAAAGGTAACAAAACTAAAATTGTCCTTAGCTTTTTTTTTTTTTTTACAACCAATTGTTGTTCTTTGTTTGTTTGTTTTTTCATTTGAAGTATCTTGAACTTTTCCCCAGGAAGTTGAATATTTTTTTGTGGTGTATATTTTTGGTGACTCTTTACTAAGGAGTTACCAAATGAACACAGGCAGTTTTTTCCTATGGTATAATTGTCATCTTATGGTTTCCTGGTCATAAACAAGGATAGTATGAATAGCCTTAAAGTAAAACATGTCTGCATTTATAATTGCCAAGTCAGAGGTGCTATGGTTTAAAGTCTAGCCAATGCACATAAGCACACATGGGCGTTTATTTGTATCTGCTCTGTTGAACTGATTTCACTGTTCGTTAATGACATTTCTTGATAGTATTTCTGCCTTTTTATCTGAAATTCATTATATATCATAATTTTCAAGTGGTCAAGTAGTTGCTGAAGATGGAAGAAGAAAAGGAATATCATAATAAAACAAAACAAAACAAAACAAAAACTCCAAATATATGTTCACTGTTGGGGACAAAAAGAAGGAAAATATTAGTTAATGTCATTTCACATTCCTTATGAATGTTATGCTCATACAGACTCTTACGTTTTAACTGGCCTCCTTATTGAGGCAAGCAACTGTATTTCCAATACAGGGCATGGAGTCTCTGTGTCCTTACTCCAGAGCACATCAGTTGTCTGACTCTGTTTTATTGGAACTATCTCTATGCCTCACACAGTAGCGTTTTAAGAGGGAATTGTTGGCTTGCACAGTTAATAATACTCCACTTTCACATTGTTTGCCATTGCTACAAAAAAAAAATTCCCATTTGACATTTTATTCACATAAATTATACAGTTGTTCCCTGAACACAGAGCTCGCCGGTAAATTGTACCCTGGCTGTTTCCAGCAAGCTCTGTTTGGGTTACTTCTAGGTAATTCTACCGTAAGTGTTCCAACTTCTAAAGGAAAATTGATGACAAATGACAGTGAGGGAACCTGGAGGCAAACCCATCAAATCACAAAGGAAGTTTTTTATTTCTATTTCTTTTTAAATTTCTCTCTCTCTCTGAAGTTTAAAAGAACAAAGAACCTTGTTCTAACCCACCCCCTTCTTTCTCTTCCAGCGCTCTGCGGAGGCGGTGAGAGCTTCCTGTGTGCCAGTGGCTTCTGTGTCCCCAAGAAGGTCCAGTGTAATGGCTATAATGACTGCGATGACTGGAGTGACGAGGCTCACTGCAGTGCGTGACAAGCTGTGTGGGGCTTGTCTGGGAGGGAAGGGATTTCCTTTAGGAGCCTAGACAGCTAAACCGCTGCACTGTCAGATACGAACAGCCAACTGGGCTGTTACTAGCAGCCATTGGTTTGCCAATCTTTTTTTAAATATAATTTATTAACTTTGTATCCCAGCTGTAGCCCCACCCTCATTCCCTCCCTATCCTGCCTTCCCTCCCTTCCTCTTCCTTCCTTGCCTCTTCCCCAATCCACTGAGAGTGGAGGACCTCCTCCCCTTCCATCTGACCCTAGTCTATCAGGTCTCATCAGGACTGTCTTTCATAGTCTTCTTCTGTGGCCTGGTCAGGCTGCTCCCTCCTCAGGGAGAGGTGATCAAAGAGCCAGCCACTGAGTTCATGTCAGAGACAGCCCCTGCACCCCTTACTAGGGAGCCGATTTGGACACTGCACTGCCATGGGCTACATCTGTGCAGGGGGTCCAGATTATCTCCATGAATGCTCCTTGGTTGGAGTATTAGTCTCAGAAAAGACCCCTAGGCCCAGAATTTTTGGTTCTGTTGTTCTCCTTGTAGAACTCTAGACCCTTCCAGGACTTTCTATCTCCCCATTCTTTCACAAGATTCCCTGCTGTCCCAGAAGCAGAAAGACACACATGGTATACACTCACTTATATGTGGATATTAAACACAATATAGGACAATCATACTAAAATCTGTACACCTAAAGGAGCTAAGCAAGAAGAAGGACCCTGGGTGAGATGCTCAATCTTCATTCAGAAAGGCAAATGGGGTGGACATTGGAAGAAGTTAAAAATAAGGAACAAGACAGGAGCCTATCACAGAGGGCCTCTGAGAGACTCTACCCAGCAGGGTATTAGAGCAGATGGCTTGGCATTCTTAAGTGAGCCAATAGGTTTGTCCCTCCAAACTGGGTTTGTACCGCTCAAAGGCGAGTGTTTGTAGGCACCCCTGCAGCTATATGTCCAAAGGAACAGCTAAGAGAGTAAACTGTTTTTCCGTAAAGCTGACCTACCATGAGCAGGAGGGTTTGGGTTTATTTTGTTTGGGTGAGGAATTTTGTTTTTGTTTTTAAAACTTTATGAGTGTAATGGTCAATGGTTTAAAGGAGGTTTTTTGGTTTTTGTTTTTTTCTTTAAGACAGTGTTTCTCTGTGTAGCCTTGTCTGTTCTGGACTCATTTTGTAGACCAGGCTGTCCTTGAACTCACAGAAATCCACCTGCCTCTGTCTCCCCGAGTGCTGGGATTGTAAGCGTCTAGGAGGTGTTTTTGTTTTGTTTTTAATAGGAAACTTTTTATATTAATGATTCTTAACATTCGCTGTGCAGCAGATCCAAAGCATCTTGCTGGTGTATGCTTCCCCTTAGCCGGAGGGCTCCTCACTGGTGCTGACTGTTTTAAACCCTCTAGTTCAACAGAACGACCCTTCCACTGCTCAGTTGAATTGTTCTGTCATTTGGACTGAATGAGCCAGTGGTTTGTCAATACAGATTCAGATTTCAGGTCTTTTTGCACTCGCTGAGCAGAGGGGAAACACAACCTTGAGAATTACACCACACCTTCTCAGAGCAGATTGGAGCCCTTGTGCTCCACTTGCTTTCATCAATGTTTAATTACTTGCAGTCAGCACGGGCAGCGCTGTGCTTCCTTCCGGAGAAAGTCAACCAGACCTTGTGAGTTGCCTGATTGCCGCCTCAGCAGAGAGACTCCTCTGGTCTGTTGACCACGTGCGGACGCTTTTCCTCCTGAGAGGGTTTAGGATACTCATTTGCTGGAACTTTGGGCAGGTAGCATATCACTGTGGCAGAGCACCGTTCACCAAAATGTGGTTTCATAGTTCACAGTTTTTAAAAAGATGATTGAGTGAAAAAAAAAAAAATGGTCAAGAGAGGCTCTGTGTCAACTTCTTAAGAGAGATTCAGCACATATTGATATATTAATGGTCTGAGAAATGTTGCAGTTTAAGTCACTTTTGCTCAATTCAACGGGTCTTCAAGCTTTTTCTCCTGTGGACTCTCACCTTTACTTATTTGTATATATATATATATTTTTTTTATATATACATTACCTAGCACTTGGTAGAAATTAAGTCGTGCTACATGTATTTTGAAACCTTTTATTTTTTAGTACAATATTGATTTTTTTTTTTTGCAACATGAAATTTTCTCTTCTGAAAAGCTTATGCATGCAAGTTTACACGCAAAACCTTTTTTTAGGCTATGTATTTACATGAGTACTACTGCTGGAGCGTTAGCAGAAAATCGTACGCCAAGTGACCTCAGTAGGGAATTCTGAGACGTTCAATTGGATTATGCCCATTTTATGGGACCGCAGTGGAACCTTTTGTTTATCTCCTGCTGCGGCCAGTATTGGGGCATTACCCAAGGCCGGCACATGCCTTTCCCCCTGTGGTGGGCCAGGACTGCCTTCACCACCTTGTTCTCTGGTACTTGCTGAGCATGGATTATACTATCGACACAGTAGTGCTTCCTGCTGCACTTTTTAAAATATAATTTGAAGGAGTCCGTTTTCCTAGTTACCAACTGAACGGGAAGGCCTTGCTGTTCTGGAAGGTACCTGGCAGTGTCTTGGGAACAGTTTATAAAATAAGTTGGCTACTAGCTTTTTATCACATTCATACCTCAAAGGGACATGGTCTGGCCCATTGAGAAAATACCTCCCTTAGCAAAGGTCTCTATGAAACCCCTTAGTGAAACATAAAACTTGCATGCCATCATTTCTGATCATCTGAGGGCATCTTCTGAGCATGAGCATTTGATGTGCATAGCATTTTAACATGAGCTTTCTGCAACCAGCCCTACTCTCCTGATGTTACTACTCTGTGGTGAGAACCATGTGTGTGCAAAGTCGAGAGTTACTACAGCCCCAGGCACTGGGGAGGGGGTAGTCTTGGCTGAGCATTGTCCGTGAGAAGCAGGAGGAAGCACCCAGATCCTCCTGCCATTCCACCGGTACCTTAGATGGAGTAATTGACAGCTCCGTGGGAGTGGATGTTTATTTAGCAGCATCCTTGACTGAAAACCGTTAGACAGCGTTAGCATCCCTCTCACGCTCACAGCCGTAGCAGCGAGAATGTCTCCATGTGTTGTGAAATAACACCTCCAGGCTTGAGAACCACTGTCCTAGCACATAAACATAAGGTGCAGGTCTAGCTTAAATCCTCGGTTTCCCCCGGGCGTCTCTCCATATCCTTGTTCCTAGTGACACCGTTTTCTAATTTAGTGTCACTGCGTTTATAACATCTTGCTTGGTTTTACATTTCGTGTATCATTCTTTTCAAGTGACGTATTTAGGATCTGATTGAATCTTTAAGGCTTAATGGTGTCTGAGAAGGACCACAAAACCCCATCTTCTGGGTGTGATGCCGAGACCGTAGCGCAGACTGCCTGCGTCGACCACCAGTTAGGAAGGACGGAGGGAATCCTAGAGCTCCAACTCTCCCTGGCAAAAGACTGACTACAGAAAGGTCCTGGCTGGAAGGGTGGAAGTCAGTGTCTTCAATCCTTTTCCCAATGATGACCTCACCAAACCCATAGTCACAGAGAGGGCACCAGTTAAACTCTGCTTCCCAAAACAAAGCAAAAAGTCAACAATATGAAAAGGTGCAGGAGGCTGAGAGGGGCAAAAGGTGAGAGTAATTAGAATGCATTTTATATATGAAAGAAAATGTCGAAGACAACTTAATTAACAAGAAAAAAAAAAGATGTAATGTTCTCTGTGTTTGTATATTATTCTCCTGATTAGACCAAAAATCTGTGAAGAAAGCAACCAAGATATAACATGCTCAAGATATAACATATCTGCTGACTGGGTTTCTACACCATGGGTTCACAGAGAGCTGAAACTTAAGAACCCGCCATTGTTTGGGGGAGTCAGTGTTTTCACAGAGCCACTGCTCTAAGTGGATTTTTGCAAACATTTGCAGCTCTTTCCTTGCTTATCAAATGAGATACTTTTATTATTCAGATGGAACGCCTTCTAGCATTTACATGCACTCTTATTTTAGGGGGAAAAAAAGATTTCTAGAAAATAGAAATCTCATTATGTCCTTAACAGCAATCATGCAGAGTGCCATTTTGCTCCACTGCACTCTTCCTTCATGCTCTTCTGCCTCATTTCAGGCCCAGAAAGACACCAGGCACCCAAGCACACGCTGTCACCTCTAAGACTATGAGCCAAACGACCAACACCCAAACAAAACACACACCTCCCTCCATAAGAACCCTAGCCTTCCTCCTTTTCAATTGTCTCTCTAGGGTGTCTGTCTCAGACACGAGGCAGCAGAGACGAAGTGACAAGTGCCACTTGTCTTGGGGAGCTGTGTCATGGCTATACAGGGTTTACATCCAACAACTCAGCTCTAGAGATAATCTTGTTTCCACTTTGCTCATGAAGAAATGGAGGCAAAGACAGGTAGAATGTGCCCAGGTTCCCAGAAACAGGAGTGGTAAGTACAGAAATAGAGGAAAGTAGGTAGCCTGACTCAAGCATCTACAGTACTGATCACCATATTGTAAGGCTCCTTACGGTTAGGTGACCACTCTCAACAAAAACAATCAAACAACAACAGCAAAGCAAGTTTACCCATGTTTCCCAGAGTTCAGAGCAAATGGCTTCCAGTAGTATTGGATGGATTTTGTGTGCCAAAGAGTAAACAGTCAGACCACCATGAACCCAGCCCAAACTCATCTGATCTTGGAAGCTAGCAGAGTCAGGCTTGATTAGTTTTTGGATTGGAGAAGTTTTTGAGCCCAAGTATGTGGACTAGTTTCTTTGGGGCTTGCTTTTGTGGTTAGACTTGCTTATTTCATCTTATGTGCATGAGTGTTTTTGCTTGCTTGTATGTCTGTGCACCACATGCATGTTTGGTGCCCTTGGAATCCAGAGAAGGGCACCAAACCCCCTGGAACTGGAGTGACAGATGGTTGTAAACCACCATGTGGGTGATGGGAATCAAATCTGGGTCCT